CCTGTCTCTTATACACATCTAGATGTGTATAAGAGACAGGGTTAGAGGCAGCCATAGCTGCCATAGCTGTAGTTAGTAGTGAGTGTGTGTTGTGTTCGAGTGTTAGAGTGATGCGTGTGGGATATCCAGGGTGATCCAGTGCATGTGAACAGTGAGATGTTTGGGCGCTGAAGTCGCCATAGCCATTTGAGAGTGAACTCGTATCTGAAGCCATATCTCTGAGTTTTGAGTGGGCGCATGTCGCCAGTGTGCTGCGTACTGTTTACATGTGTGAAAAGTGTGTTTGAAAACGAGTCTGATTGCAATGGTAAGCACTGAGATGAAGACAGAGCCATAGCTCAGAGCTGGAGGTTCACCCATGGGAGAAAGTAGAGAGAAAGTCAGTGTCTCTCTAAGCCAGGACCGGGAGGAGGAGGGTCCTGGCAAGGTTGTTGCACAAGGCATGTCGTCGTACTTCGCTTCCAAGGACACTATTCATTGCCTCTAGCTTCTTTTGTTTCTTTTTCCATTGTTTCTAGCTATTGCACTATTGACCTATTGTTTTTCGTTTACGAGTTTTAATCAGTGCAGTCATGCCAGGATGTCATTTTCTGAAGAAGACCAGACACCCGATCAATCGCCATACCGACCGAGATGGGTTTTGTTAAGCATAAGACCTGTGTCAATTACCTTTTTTTCCCCCAATTCATGTTTGTCATCCTTGCACAGGGGCCATGCTAATCTTTCTCCGTATCCTTCCATTTTTTATTTTTCTTTCAAGTTTGGACCATTTCTCAATTTGTGTGTCATCCTTGCGCAGGGGCCACGCTAATCTTCTCTGTATCGTCAACTTACCTTTATCCTAAGCTTACGTTAAAATTGGAATGATACAGAGAAGATTAGCATGGCCCCTGCACAAGTTTGACAGAAGGAGGGGGGGGGGCAGGGGGGGAGGGGAGGGGGGGGKGGAACAGAAAAGAAGGAAAAGTGAGATAACTCCATCTCTGCAATCCAATAGCCAAAGGTTGGTTTCTCAACCTAACACTTTGCTCCTTCAAGGGCTGGCAGTGGACACCTCATGCCCTGACAAAGCAAAGACATCACAATCCAAACGCATTTCAGAATATTTCATTAGAAAAGTCAAGTTCCAGAAAAAAACAGGATAACTACACCACATCACAAGTCAACAATGTCTACCCAGCACTGACCTTGTCTTTGCAGCTCACGCACCCAGTTCTTTGCTCGTGTGAAAGAGTCCTACAAACAACAACAGTGTGTAGAACAGGTGCAGCAGAAATATTAAAATGATGAATTACTTTGACATCCAAACCTCAGAGCAAGACTTCACAGTGACAAATCATGCACCACATCTTCTACGGCCTCTCTCTCTCTCTCTCTCTCTCTCACACACACACACACACACACACACACACATGCAAAGCTGGCAGAGAACGCATGGCATTCCAAGGGAATGGCGTGAACAGGGATGACGGAGCAAGACACACGACAGAGAAGATTGACATGTGCAGAGAGACGGGGCCTCACTCCACGACCTGCAAAGTGTGGTGGGAGATGGATTGTACTATCCTATTTTGTGGAGGGATAAGCTCGCCAGTCCTTACCTTCAGGAAGCACTGAAGCAACAACGCCCATAGGCAGAGAGGAGAGGAATGGCGACAGATACCCACAGGAGATGAAGACGCGCATGGGAGACTACGACTAAGACAGCGAAATTCGAGGATTGTGAAAGAGATAGGCGAGGTGGAGGAAAGATTCAATCTCTGCAGTCGTGGTAATATGGGTGTGATACAACACTTAACATCAATATATGAGTCTTCACATCAATATATGAGTTGGATCTCCTCATCTCGGATTCCATAGATAAACCTCCTGCAGCCGTTTTTCAAGGTCGATTAACAGATGAAGGCAGTGGAAGTGCACTTACCACATTTGTGACATCGTACACAACGATCGCAGCTGCAGCGCCTCGGTAATACATAGGAGCAAGGCTATGATACCTCTCCTGACCAGCAGTATCCCAAATTTCAAATTTTATGGTTGCATCATTCACGGCCACTGTCTGCGTCAAGAAGGCTGCGCCAATCGTAGACTCCTGCGCAGATGGCAATTTTACAGCATTCCAACCGACATGAGTTTCGTCCGCACAACTGTCCTAAAAACGACGCTCCTTTAAAAGAGGGGGGGGGGAAGCAAAAAACACTCCTTCTCTATGTTTCGCCATGCATAATCTCCCTGGAAGACTGGATTGTCTCAAAACCTTTTCCACGGCTTTTCCTTCACTCTCTCCTGATTTCTTATGACAGAATCTGGATGTTAATGGGGTGGGGTCAGATGCATATGGGAAACTTCCCCCTGCTCAGCTCGTCTCGACTACCGTCTTCCCCCGAAGATAATGCATATGCATTGTAAACGAATACAACACATAGGTTGCCTTCTTTTCAAATACATATTCAAATACAACACGTGTTTGAAAGGCATTCCACGATGCAGACCCCAAATTCGACTCTCAGAATCAAAGTCTCAGTTCAAAAGAAGACATGTCGGCCAGTCCAGAAAGGTCACAGTCGGGTACTCCAGGGGTCAAGTGCAACACGTACCCGGGGGAGAGTCACATCCCAGACGTGAAAGTTGTATTCCGTAAGCAAAAGTCATGTCTCATGTCGAAAGGTCATATTCCATAGGCAGAGGACACTTTTCCAAGCAAAGGTCGTGTCCCACAGGCAAGAGTCACATCTCGCAGTCAAAAATCATATTCAACAGGCAGAGATCACGTCCCACAGACCCAAAGCAGCAGCACACCAATGAAAATTCGGAAAGTACCGGGCCTCACATTCTGAAGCAAACAGGCCGTGGGCATGTGGTACCAGATCCAAGTCAAGCCAAAGGAAGCAGAGGCTGGGACGAGTCAAGACACAGTCCAAGTCAATATAAGGACTGGCCAGCCACATTCCGGGCAGATTGTTCACTTGCAAGAAACGTGGAAGTGCTGCTGGAGTGCTTGTGTGCTATCTGTGTGAGGCAAGTGCTGGAGCCCTGGTTGGGCAGCGCTGCGCTATGAGGGAAGAAGACGGCCATAGCTGCACAGCTGGTAGTGGGGATAGAGCTGAATAGCAGCGGATGTATTCAGAGCCAAGGTCCTCGAGTAGGGGCGGAGAGAGTGAGAGAGAGAGAGAGAGCAAAGGGAGGCAGAGAGAGAAGGGAGAGAGTGAGTCACCTACCTTGTAAGAGGATGCTGGTTATGGACTGCTGAACTCGCGCTGCTGAGCACCTCGTGACTGGAACTCTGAAACTGCTTAACGTGAAAATTTGTCAGAATTCCTAAGCTGCACTATTCTGGACTTTGCATCACTGGTCTTCAGTGTGGACTTCGTGTGATCTCTCTCAGTGTGTGTGCGTGTGTGCTCAAGGTGACGAGCAGTAAGGCACATTCTATTCGAACAGCCCTTATTTTGTAGCACAACGCATATGCATTCTATTCGAGTTTTTTGCTTTTCTCAAAAACTTGAATACAAGGCATATGCGTCATGTTCGGGGGAAGAGGTACCTGCAGGACTGCACAGAGAACTACACTCACAACCAAGACAGCCATAGCATAAGATTGCAGAGCAGAGCATCGCAATTCCAACGCACACCACTGACATCCCAGAAATGCCAGAGAGAGAAAGAGATTAGGCTCAGTTTCAAATTATGAAACAGCACCGAATGCAAGCGTGTATCTCGTCAACATAACCAGAACCCATTCAAACAAAACCAACCTTCATCGAATCATCCATCACTCTTCACAACAGTCATTCTCTTTGCCCCACTGTGCGCGCCCCCCCCCCCCCCCCCCCCCCCCCCCCCCCTGGGGGAAGTGCTCATCATGTGCAATGTTCATTGTCACTTCATCAGGGGGAACAGAATGGTGTCCCAACCAAAGACTGATTAACCTTCCATCACAGCATTTCCACAACTCCAACTACGAAAAATGAAAATGTTCACATAATTTGCAATACGCAAAGAGATGTGCAATTCAGTTGGGGAAAGGGAAGTGGGATCAAACCTGGTAGTCAAAGAATTGTCCTTTAACAAAGCGCAACACCAAGCTGGACTTCCCTGCACCCATATCACCCAGCAGGACCTGCAGGAGAATTAAACGACACCAAAGAAGGAACAGAGTAATGGGAGGAAACGAGGAGCATTCACAAAACAAAGAAAAGACAATTTAGCATCGAGTTCCACTCTACCATCTGCACTCACTCACCTTCTTACATGCAAAAGATGTGTACATACACGACCAATTGGCAATGGTTAAAACAAGGGGATGAGGAACCGGAGGGAGAGAAGAGGGGAGGGCTCGCAAATGGCACTCAATTCCTCGGGAACGGCACCATCCAAAACCCACGCACTCCCAAACGATGTTCTTCCACAGTAACATTGAATTGAATGTATTCCCAGGTGGTACAGACATATAGGTCAGCCCACAATTGACTATCACTGACAGAAAATCCACAACATAAACAGGCTTCCTTCAGCACAATCCTAATTGCTGCCCCTCACGAGCTTCTGATATGTGGTCGATTGGGCATATTTGTTTTCAGCATATAGGATACAGCACATCTGTTTGGTCTTCCGGCGCCATCCAGGGACTGGCTGGGTGAAAGGATTCACGCTGCAGACACCCTGTCCCGCTCCTAGGGGCCCGACGCGTCGTAAGTCCAGGGCCATTTCTGTAAGGGTTGGCCATAGGGCCCAGAGACCGAATCGTCGTAGATCAGTAGGCGTCGGTACCGGAAAGGTCTTAGGTCGGTAGAAGTCCCCCGGTACCCGACAAGAAATTATAGCGGTGCCAACTGGAATCAAGATATTTAGTTGAAGTCCAGAAGCGTCCAGTCCAGGTCGTCAGTCCCAAGTCCAATTGCAGCATGTCCCAGGAAAGTTCGGGAGCTACCGGACCGACAAAATGTTTGCAGCAGACAGGCCACGTCCGGCCGGTACCGGTCCGAAACAGGCCAAATCCAGTGGAGCCAAGTCCTACATATAGCTGCTACAGTGCGGCGGTCCATCATTTGTTCAGTTGCGAGATGCGGAAGTGCTGCTACTGTTTGTGCGTTAAGCCAAATTAGGCACTGTGCGCCTGAAGAAAAAGAGGGGACTTGAGAACTACTCCATAGCTAGGCTAGACGTAGAGCAGGAGGACGGCGGCCATAGCCGCCGAGGTGTGAGCAACCTGAGTGGGTGTATCCAGGGTAGCGATCCAGGGTAGAGAGAGAGAGAGAGGCAGGCGGAGTGAGTCAAGTTAGAGAGAGAGAGAAGGGAGAAGTCATATCCGCTATCTGGTCGAGACCCGTTGCATGTGTGTGTATGCGGCAGAGCCGCGGGAGACAAACATTCTTGTATATTGATAATAATATTGGCAACGACGTCTTCAAGTGTTAGTTGTATTTCGTTTTGGCTTCTCACGCGTGAACTCTCATGTGAACGTTCGTTGATGTATGCGAAGTTGAACTTGACGAGTACTTGGCTCATTTCACTGGGAGTTTGCTGGATACCTTCCCTGGGCCACAACCTAACATGCAACAATGAGACGGGCATACGGTCTTCAACTTTCCTGAAGCCGAGAATCATGGAACTCCATACTACTAAACATCACTTATCCAGCCAACCCAAGAGGTAATATTATTATTCAGTTTCTAAGAACAGGCATCTGCTTCAACTGAACAGGAGCAGAAATGTGAACAAACGTAGAGTCCAGCTGGTCAAAAAACTGTCCACTGCGTAAATGCCCACCTGTGATGTTTCTGTACACAGTCCAGTGAGGTGGTGTGACCAACAAGGATATTCCATGTCGTATGGACCATACAATCAGGTGCACGAGACGTTGTCTGACCCGCAATGGTCAACCAGTGGTGGGGAACCAGTAACTGAATCAGTTATGGTGGCACCAGCGATGGAACCAGTGATGATGGAACCAGCTATGGTGAACCAGCTATGGTGGAACCAATGACAGTGGAACCAGGGATGGGACCAGGGATGAAATCACTGATGTTGGAACCCGTGACGGTTGAACCACTCATGGAACCCATGAGGGCAGAACCACAGATATGGAACCAGGGATGTAGCCAGTGACGTAAGCAAGTGATGGAACCAGTTATTCAGTGAAATGTTATGTACACGAGACTTCAATCCACAACGAATTCACATGTTCCCATTCACGCATGCAATTGTAGAGTAGACTCGAAGGAGGAAAATCCACACAAAACCAGAGAGAAGATATGCACAGCGGAAGCTCAAAGTACACAGAGAATTGAAAAAAACGACTAGAAATATTGCCCTCTTGCCTTTAGTGGATTTCATGACAGGCCCAACAGCCTAGAAGCTACCACGGACTGGGGTGACCTACGATGGACCGACTAGCAGCCATCCTACGGTACTTCTGTGCCTAGACTGAACACTGGCAAAAAGGACCTACAGGCCATGAAAAAAAAAAAAAAGAAACGACGACTGTGCTCAGCCCCAATAGGAGACAGGGCATGGGATCAAGTCCTGGCAGAACCAGACAGTCAAAAGGAAGGTGTTAAACAAAGGGCCAGGGATCGAATTCCGGCTACGCCAAACAACAGAAAAGCAAACGAACGGCAAGGCCAGGGATCAATGCCTGGCTGGAACACGATCAAAACAAGCACACCAAACTGGGGAGTTAGTTTACAGCCCGCTACATCTTCAAGTTCATTGCAGAAACCAGTGGCGGATCCATCGTGATAGAACCATGGTGGTGCAGGACCAGAGGTGCAGCTCTATGGAACCGTTTTAACTAATGCCTGTTTAGCTCGATCCGCAAGAAAAAGGAAGTGGTTCCGTCCCGTCCAAGTTTTGCCATCGAACTTCAGTGTTCGAACTATGTCAATTTTTCCTCTCATCGAAGAGTTGTCCATAGTGACACGTCGACCGGCTAACAATCTGGCATGTAAACTTTGTGCCATTCTTGTCTGAAGTGCACGCTTCTGACCCTAATTCTTTGAAAGCGAGGCCTTGTAATCCTGGTCAGATATTGAACGCTTGTCTAACCCACTGGTTAATCTGAGGCGACTGGACAGAAAAATGGACCGAGCGTACCACTTCCTAAAGTCTGAAGGGCCGCAGCTTAGTGATAGTGGCGGACTTCATACTATATGGAACCTCCGGTCGCTATTACTGGATTCCCTAAGGCAAGCATTAGATGTAGGTACGGGGCTTAGAAGTAGTGGTAGGTAGATATTTGACCCGCGCATTGTAGAGCTTCTCGACTCCTTTGGTGACGTCTTCGAAGCTCCCGCCGGAATCATACCGGATCGGCCAATGCATCACGAGATCATTCTTGAAGACGGGGCCGTACCTCCGTACGGATATATTTACCGGATGAGCAAGAAAGTGCTTCGAACGCAACTCGACGACCTCATCCCCAAGGACTGGATTTGCCCTAGCTGCTCGCCCTACAGGGCACCCGGTTGAATTTTTTCAGACGAGAAAGAAAAAAGTGGGATGCGGACGGGAGCCCTGGGATGTGGACGCGAGTGTGAAAGTGAGTGATATCACGCGGGTTAGCCAAGCGCTCTTCATGTTGCTGTCCGACTCCGTTATCCTCTTCGCCACCTTCCTCCCCCTCCCCCTGCTCCTCCTCCTCCTCCTAAGTGAAGGCCGGGCTCCTCCTCCTAAGTGAAGGCCGGGCAGGGAAAAATGTCGGCGGGCCTTTGGGAAGACTGGCGTGAGGTAGTCGGGGGGGCTCTGGAGAGGCTGGACACAACCTGTCCAACTCACCAGTGGGTCCAGCCTCCTGGTTACTTGAAGAGGCTGAGCCCCAGGTACCCTGTCTGGAAGAGCTTCTCAGAGGGTTCGCAGACTGGGGTGAAACCAGTACCAGCCAGGATGCCACGGCCTCCAGAAAAAGAGAGAAAAGGACGGGAGGCTGCAGCATTCCACACATTTGGAGGTACCGGCTGCCAGCACCAGCTCCGGAACAAGCGCACGCTGCCAGGCCCCTGAGCATTAACGAAGGAGAAAGGGAGGAGCAGCCATGGGCAGCTGCTCCTGCTTGGCGGCACTCATTTTGGGCGGTTGTGCTGCGGTGACTGCAGGATAAGGACAGCGGTGGGAACAGGTGGACTTACCTGGCAATGGCTGGAGAGCATGCATTGGGTGGTCAGACTATGCAGCATTGTTGGGCGAGAGGACAATGGTCACAGAGAGAGAGAGAGAGGTAGGCTTTGTGTAGCGAGCGAGTACGATGCTAGTATAGGCGTTGCATCATTTGGAGTACTTATTTCAACAACTAATTTGTTGTTGTGTCAATGAGAGAGGTGGCCAGAAGTCAGGCTTTCATCGGAGTTTCACTCACTCATCATATATATATGTATATAATAAGATATCGAACAATACATTCTATATATTTGAAACGGTTTTCACCCGTTAGCAGTAGCGAGTGCAGATCCCAGGGCTCGATCCCTAGTTCTCACCTTACCTGTGTACAGTATCTGTGTCGACCCTGAGTGTTTGAACCCGTGACCTGTGTTTTGACAGTTGTTGTTGTCGGTCTTAGGTTGATATAGTGGTAGGGGTTCGATCTGTAGACCTGTCGGATAGGAGTCTTAGCGAGTTCTAGAAGTCGTAGCTGTAGCCTGTCCGAAGGGTCAAGGTTGTAGCTGCGACAGTCCTGAAAGGTCAAGGTCGTAGCTGCTACAGTACCGAAAGGCCAAGTCTACAGACTTCCGGAAGTGGCCTTTCGGAGTAGGCTCACGTTAGACAGAGGCAAGTGGGCAAGTGGCGGAGCCAACCTCAGTGAGTTGGCAGTGCAACTGCAGTGAGGTTGCGGCCCAACCCCATGCAGTCAGCGGTACGGGCCAGTCAGTCCCAGTCCAGTCCAGCAAGTACCATACGGGACTGTGTGCACAATGGGCCGAGGGAAAAGGACCAGACCAGCGAGCTACAGAAGTATAAATCAGGAGGCAGCGTCCAGCCATTCATTCATTCCTGTGTAAGCCATGCGGAAGCGCTGTCATAGCGACTTGTGCGAGGTGGTCTGCAGTGAGCCCGAGGACGAAGAGGGCGAGAAGGAAGATAGCCATAGCAATAGAGTAGCAGCGGCCATAGCCGCCATAGCTGTAG